AAATTCTAAGAATAAAGGCGCACAAAAATGATATAAAAAATAATCAACTTTTTACCATATCTTTCTAACTCTATCTTTTTTGTCATTACCTTGTATATTATGTTTTGAAATCTAATCTTAATATTCTAATTTCAGGGTTGCAAAGCTGTTAGGGGTGTTGATGCATGATGGATTTTGTTCTATGTAACATTTTGAGATAAATTATTATATTTAATTGTTCCCGAATAAATTCATATAATAATAAGTGTAATATAATTTGAGATATTTAATATAATTAAGAGGTAATTATTTTGATTCCCCACATCGTCATTTACCCAAAAAAAAAGTGTCAAGCTTCCCAAAGTGTGATATGTAATGATATCAGACTCAATCAGTCTAATTAAACGTAATTTATGATTTTTTTTATTCATATTGTTTGAACCCTCAAATTTATTTAAATGGAATAGACTCATCACATCCATTAAATCCGTCTATTATTGATAAATTCAAATTTTCTAACTTTACATGATAAAATATTATTTTGATCTCTTACTTTTATAAAGTACTAGTATCTTTTTTAATCCCACGCGTATCCGTAACACTATTAATTTCATCAAATGAAAATGCTGACTAAGAAATGTTATTTCAAACCAATTATTTTTTATTTTTAAAAATTAATTTAATATGTGTCAACATTAAAGAATGTTTTATGAGCATTTAAATTTGTAATATGCACAATTTTTATTAATGAAACTAACAGTTTGTTAGGGACCAGGAGACTACAAATGAACTCTATAAAACTAAAGGAGAAAAGCAAAATTCTATATAAACAACACAATTTTATAGCCTTTATATTAATTGCATTTGATTATATGTAGTTAATTGTTTGGTTTTGTAGGAATCTTGACTTAAGTGGTATTTTAGACAAAATTAGTGTTATTAGGAGATTGTGATGTGTAAGTGAAATAATTGGTCCATATTCCATTATTCTATTTCCCTTGCTTTTTCCTTCATTATTTTTTTTCTTTTTATTAGCAATCATACTTGCTTTCTTCCCAAATCATGATATGTTTTAGGTCTCATATATTATATCCAATCCCCGTATCTAAAATAGCTTTCTTTGCCATGACGTACAGATTGGATTGGTCGAGCTTGAATCTCACTTTTTGTACTGTCAACCAAAAATTAAAGTCCCAGATATATCATTTACTCATCAAGTGATAAAGGTGAGATTTGCAAAACAAAGAACGAATTATTTATGTGCATGAATTAATTCTTTATTTCAATGTTTGAATTTGGGGTCAAAAAATGAACTTTAACTTTGGCTTGTTTTGGTAACCACATTATATTTGGTCATTCAAGGAATCAGCGTTATTAGTAGGAGCCAATTAAAGATAATTATTATTATATTTATCAATTTTTTACCCTACAATAAAGCAGTCAATCTGGTATATATAGGAATATATAGGACATCGATCCTTTATATATATTGTATGCATTCGTCTTTAATATCAATTCAACTAGTCATCCTGAGAATTTAGTTTTTTTTAAAGAAAATTAGAATTTACTTAGTATAACTTCATTATACTATATGCTAATAGAAACTGTAAATCCTAAGCATTATTTAATATTCATGTATCTAAAAGATGAAAAGGAAGTTGAGCAATTTCGTCGAGTTTTTAATTTCATTTACATTCGCAAATTGGATTTCCAAATCTACTGTATTTTATTATACGTGGCCAAGAAACAACCGAATTTCAGTTTTGACAAGTGAATTATTAACATTAATTAATTGGAAGCTGCTAACTCTTGTTACTTAATATAAGATTTAGTTGATTAATTTAATAAAATTAAAGAAGTCATTAAATTACTTTAAACTATTTAATTATATTTATTTGTTTTCTTTAAAATAATTTGCCTTATTTATAAATTGATATATAATCTAATGGTCTATATAAATATTTTAGAGAGATCATGTAACATATGTCATAATTAAATAACTTTTTTAATCTCTGCAAATTAGTCAACTAGTCTTATTAAACACGAGGTGTTGTGTGTGTGTATGAGGGTGGGTGATTAAGGCATTGACAGAGAATATAATTATATACATAAGGTGAACATAAAGAGGACTACATATATATATATATATATATATATATATATCTCACATTGATTGGGAGACGGTGATTTATGATAAATGGAGGATCTGTTGTTGCAAAGCATTACGACCATCCATTTCACATTTTATTAAAAACTCGTAACCAATTTTATTTATTTTTCATTATTAAGACTTTGACGACCCACCACTGCATCTTTCCTTTTTCCCCTTCATTTCCCCACAACCTTTTCCTAATGATATTCTTTATGTATACACTCCCTTCTTCATTTTAGCCCCTTTATCTTTCTTAATTTACTATACTCTCCGAATCAAATTTGACACTTCAAGTGTGACAAACTACTATATTATACTACCTCCAGTCGTATTTATAAGAGCTAATTGACTAATTTGAGCAAATTAAGGAAAGAAGTTAAGTTAGTTATTTGTAATAAATATGTGTTGTCTTTCCTAAAATATCCTTGCTAATCAAGTGTACTAGCTAGAACTATTGTTATTAGAAGGACTATCTTGGAAAAAATGCATAAATATGAGAGACAAAGTGAATTGAAGTCTTATATTTAGGACTAAAATAAAAGTCAAACAATGTTTTATATTAAGAATCAGAGGTAGTATATGTATTGTGGTGAATATGTGAGATGATCTCCCTTAAAAAAATCCCTTGATAACATTAGATTATATACATAATTTTACAAGTCAAGTATATTAATTTGAAAAAAAATAATAAATATGAGAGATAAAATGAATTGAGATATTAGTTTAAGACCCAATGCAACACTCTAACTTTTTCCTATATTAGGGACAAGAGGAAGTATTTCATAAGATAAAGAACATTGCTTTAATTTCTATGTGAGGTTTCATAGGTAGAGATTCGAGTCTTGATTCACTATGTTATGAGAGAATAAAATAAACAATGATGCTTTAATTTCTATGTGAGGTTTCATACAATGGACACATATATAACCTACTCTGGTAAAAATTTGAGTCTTGATTTATTACATTACAAGAGAATAGACTTTTTGGCTAGACTCAATTTTTCTTAATGAAATACTACCTCTGGTCCTTAATATAAAATATCATTTGACTTTTATTTTGGTCCTAAATATAAGACCCCAATCCATTTTATCTCTGATATTTATATATTTTTTTCTAAGACAGTCCTTCTAACAATGATAGTTCTAGTTAATATATTTAATTAACAAGGATATTTTAGAAAAAAAAACAACACCTATTTATTACAAATAACTAATTTAACTTTTTTTCGTAATCTTTTCAAATTGGTCAACTAATTTTTATAATTAGAACCGGAGGTAGTATATAGTTATTAAATTAGTATTACAGTCGCTGTCATAATTTCTGAAGTATTGTTAGTGTCGGTTTTGGGGTTGCGAAAAGTAAAAACATGCTGCAGAGTAATGTGTATGAAAGGAATATATGTAGAAAGAAAGAACTGTTTGGTGTCTCATTGAAGACTTGAGGACTGTACTTCACGAAGACAAATCTAACCCTGGGGATGCAGCTCTGAGCAGCGTTGGTTAAGAGGGTAAATTAAAGAATTCACCTTTTGTACGTGCAGGGTTAGGAGAAGGATCTATCTATATGCCCACAAATATACCTTAATTTGCAAGGGTTAATTAACACAACAGAAAATGACATCAACAATTCAACATTATGTTCGGTCCCATACTCTAAAAACCTAACCAAACAATAGCATGCACGAGTGGGTTCATCTGAGGTTTCAACAGTTTCATCAATAAAAAAAAAATACCCGTAAAACCCACATAAAAAAGTAAATATAAATGTTCTTGAATTTCATTTAATATTAATGGATCTTAATATTTACTCAAACTTTTTTTGTCTTTAAGTTAAATTACACTATTTATAAGTTAATTTTGTAAGTGTTAAATTCTTAGGAATTTATTAGTATTAGATGAAATTTGGGACTTAATTTCCTTACCTTAATCTTCCTTAATTAATTCAACCATCAATTTTCAAAATACGTACATATATAGTGATCATTATTGTAATAATTGGGTTCTAAGTATATACCCTACATCATAAGTATAAAAGTTACTCCATTAGATTATAAATTATTTTAAAAGTTAGGTGAATTACTTTTAAAAAACAGTAAATATAAAAAAATAAAGTATATTAGGATGTCATTAGGGAGCGGAAGGAGTACATATAATCCTTGTGATGGGGAAATTAATAGGAAATATTCTAAAAAAATACATCTTAAGTTTCAAATTTCAAACTAATCTTGTTTACTATACTTTAATAGCAATTGATTATAAATACATGACAACATATTTTTGTAATAATTCATAATTTGAAATTTTAAAATTTTAAAAATTATTTTTTTTGAGTTTCTCAAATTAATAAAGAACGTACATGGTTGGGTGTAAAATTAGAGAATATTATTGGTAGGTGTGAGGATGAGTGGTGAAAGTGAAAAGAGAGAATGAGAATGCCCTAGGCTTCAGTTGCAGATGGAGGAGGATGCATACGTGAGAGGTCGTAAAAGTAAATATCTCATTCTTTTGTTAAATAAAACACTGGGCACAGATAAAAAGAGCCTACGTTAATAAAAAGGAATAAAAGTTACTAACTCACATACCTTTTCCACTCCTTTTTTCTCAACCCCCCCTTATCTTATGCACACTATTTATTTTCATTTTGCTTTTTGTCACCCTTTATTATGTTTGTTATTATTATTTTTATCATTATCATCCCCTTTTTTTTTTTTTTTTAATTTTCCTCTCGCCCTACTAGACTAGTACTACCCTGCTCCCCCACGTCCACAAACACAGCCCTTCTCTCTCTCTCTCTCTCTCTATTGCCATCCTGTAGTGCCTCAAGTGTCATTTTCTCTCATATACTTCTCATTCACACAAAAGAAACAACTATTTACTTCACACCTTGTCATTTCTTCTCTCTCTATCTCTACCTCTTACGCCTTCTTCTTCCTCCCTCTCTCTCTTCGCCGTCTTCCCCCTCATCATCCTCCTCCTCAAATCTCCCCCTTCCCCTCTGCAACCGCTCCTTCAAAACTCCATTAAAATCCCCACCCTCAATCTCTTCACTTTTACATAAGGAAGAGGGGGACAAGAGGGAGAAATTAAAGGTGAAGGAAAGAATTGGTGTAAGAAGAGTGTGTTTAGATGGAGCTATTCCCTGCACAGCCAGATTTGTCTCTGCAAATCAGCCCTCCAAACAGCAAACCCGGTAGTTCAAATTGGAGGAGAGATGGTGGCGACGTGGATTTGGGGTTCTGGAAGAGAGCTTTGGACTCCACAAACTCATCACTCTCATTCTCATCAATGCCCAAATCCAAATCTTCCTGTGATAATAATCTCATTCATCATCATCACCACCATGCTCATAACTCCTTCGACCTCTCTCTCTCCTCCTCCAATAGTACTAATACTACATCCACAAGACCACCCCCTCCTTCTTCCTCGTCTTCTTCTTCTTCTTCTTCACTCTGCAACAACACCAACTCTAACCTCACTAACATCCACCGCCACCGTCATTTACTCCAAAACGGCAACAATAATGCCAATCCCTTGCCGTCGTCGTCGTTTCACTACTCCCACAACCACCACCAGAGTCTGGGCTTTCTCAGGCCCATCAGAGGAATCCCTCTCTACCAAAACCCCCCTCCTCCTCCTCCTTCTAATATTCCCTTTGGTGCTCTTATTGATGCTAATAATTATCCCACGCTTACTCCTGCTACCACTGTTCCTCCTCCTCCTCCTCCTTCGACAACCTCGTCGAGCCCTTTTCAATCTCACCACCAAGGTTTGATGAGGTCTAGGTTGTTGTCTCGTTTCCCTGCTAAGCGCAGCATGAGAGCTCCTCGGATGCGTTGGACTACAACCCTCCATGCTCGCTTTGTCCATGCCGTTGAGCTTCTCGGTGGCCATGAAAGTATGCTTCTTTCTTTTCCTCTCTTCTCTAATTTCTCCATCCGCATGGCAAAATGAAAAAAAGACAGCAACACTGATGCTGAAATTTTCCCTTTCTTCCTTCTTATTCTCCTCCTGCTCTTCCTCTTTGTATATAAATAAAATATGTTATTACTATAGCTAATTTTCTGTTTATGGGGTTGTAGGGGCAACACCAAAGTCAGTTCTTGAGCTAATGGATGTGAAGGATCTCACTTTAGCTCATGTTAAATCTCATCTACAGGTAATTAAATCTCCTGCTTAATTCACGAATTGATCTAGCCAGCAGTTTATTTGTGTATGATTCTCGGGATTTGTATACATATTTTTTTTAAAAAAAAGGAAAAACAGTATCATGTATTTATATTTCTTTCATACCACTTCTTAATACGGCTATAAGGGTAAGATTTGTGATAGGATTTCTTACCAGACGACGACTTTGTGTATTGACTTATTTACACTTTTACAGCCCCCACATTGCAGTAAGCAGTTAATTTATCCATCAATAATCTATATGCAATGTAATAATATTATTTCAAATTCCCATATGGGCTTCCTTGCAGAGAGTCTCCCTCAAATCCTCAGCGCTTCTTTTTCTATTAGATCTGTTACCTCTGCTTCTGCAACCTAACATACAGCTTTTTGCTTGGGAGAATGAACCCAGTCAAGTTCAACACTTGGGGGAAAAAAAACAAAGAAAAGAAATTACCCGGAGAGAGAAAGAGATAGAGGAGAGAGAGAAGGGAGGCACTTATCGATTTCTGAAAACGAGTGAGACAACAATTAAAGCCCCACGAATTCAAATTGAGTCGCAGCCAAGCCGAGACAATAGCTCATACACTGATACATATTTCACCGATTTCAGTCCATATCGCTCTGTATATAAAAATATAAATACATTTTATCTTGTGGGAGGAGCAAATATATATATAAAGAAAACGGAAAAATGGTAGGAAAGTACAGAACACCATCATTTCTCAATCATATATCTATCCAGAAGGGTTTCTTAACTACAGCTACACTTAACCAGGGTTAGTCACAAGCTTCCATTCATGTCCATGCAACAATACACTTGCATTCACATAACCATTAATGTTTCTGCATTAAGGCTTGTACGACACTGTGATTCTGTGACTCAATTTATATCTCACAGGTTCGATGGGAAGGTTTTTTCAAGGGGGTTTTCCTTTTTTTTTTTCCGTTTATTTTTTCTGTAACTTCTTGGGTTTTCACTTATCCGTCTTTTAGTGTGATGCATTATCATCTTTTTCTAACCAACAATATACTTAATTACAAAGTAATTTTCGTATCTTTGGTAATGCATGCACGTAGATAATCTCATCTTCTTGATACTAAATTTTTATGCAGATGTACCGAACGGTGAAAACCACAGATAAAGCCGCTGCTTCCTCGGGTTAGTGTCCATAACAATTAAGATCTTTCTTATTAGACGATCTTAATTAAAATTTGGAATCATGTTAAGGCAAGAAGGACTATTGAAGAAAACAAAATAGGCATAATAGTGTTAAATTGGTCTGCCTTTCTGTGACTTTATTCTATAATTCAAAATGAAGGGCAATCTGATGTATATGATAATGGATCATCTGGAGATAATTCTGAAGATTTCATGTTTGATATGAACAATTCAAGAAGTTCTGATCTGTCTACCAAGCAAGCAAAAGAAAGTGCTAATCGTGATAAAGAACATCGCGGCCTTTGGAGCAACTCTTCCAGGTAATAATAACAATTCCCGGAATTATTTATGTAAATTTTCCTAATTAAATGCCCTATTGAAGCTCTTTTTATTCTCTTTTATCCCAATCAGATGTTGCATGCAGTGTGTGAATGCAATGTATGGAACTGACATTGAGAATATGAACAAAATGTATAAAGTTAGCTAGCTTCATTTTTTTGTCTTGAAAGTTATTTTAAATCTAATAATTTTTCTTCGCTATTAAGACTTCTGAACTTCATGATTTGTTTCTTTCTGGACATTTTAATTTATTTCAAAATTGTCATATATATATACTCCTCCAGTCCTATATTTAGGACTAGATAAGGGTCTTATAATTAGGACCGGAAGGGTATTACAAACTTTCATACTATATACATATGTTTCACCTGTCATATCATATATATATATATATATATATAAAAGCATTCCTCCTTGTCCTTCTCACTCTTTTCTCTCTCTTAAAGTCTTACACAAATCCAAAAAAAATCACCAAGGGATAAATCATTTCAGTTTGCTTTGTTCTGTCTGTCCAGAGAACCACACGCACCAAAGAAATCCATATGATGGGGTAATAATAATCTCTAGTTCTCTGCTATAGATAGTCCAAAGATATGGAGCTTCATTGATATCTCTCTTTCCTTAGGATTTTGTGGGGCTCGGACAAGAGACAATTAAATGGGACCCCCACTGTTGTAGGAATGCTTATTGTCAAAGTTAAAGCTCTAGGTTGATGACAAAGCTATATGCCCTTTGAAACTTCCTTCAATCGTCTCATTGTTATTAAGTCATGGGCTATACTTCATAGGATGACTTCAACTTTACTTCAAGCAACTGAATAAATAAAAGGAGAATATTGCAGTGTACACACACACACACACACACACACTCCCATTTAAGAAAGTAAAAGATGGCTTTCTTTTATCAGTTCACTTTCTTCCGCATGGTTTCTAGCAATGGCGAAATATTCTCTCAAAGTAATGTTTTGGTTCGTTTTTGACAGGGAAGCTTGGTTGCATGGGAAGCCAAAGCTGGATTACTGTGCAGGAAACTTGAGTTCTTTTGAGGTAAATTAATTGCTAATTAACTACTTTGACTAGCCTTTTATATTTTTCTTTCCCGAGGAGCCATGTATAGGGCCTTTTAATTAATGCCAAAGTTTTCTTTATTTATAGTATTATAATTAGAAGCAAGCATCCTTTAGCTGTGTTTAGGAATGCATGAAAGGGAGATGAGAGGAAAAGGGAACTACGTTTGATCTTTTTCATGGAGCCATGCACATTCATTATAGAGACGAGAAAAGGAAAGAGCTTTTCAAAAGCTGCTTTGTCCTTCCCAAATTCAAATGTGTTTAGACCTGTCATTTTCACCATTTCAAGGATGAAAAGTTAAAAAGAATAATCCAAATGAGCTGTAAAAGACTTGCCTCTTATGAGTTAGTATTAGCATGTAGCTAGTTAATGATCACCATATAACTTAGACATGTATAGTTCTTGTTGACCAATAACACATATATAGATCTAATATCCTAAGCCTAAGTCATTTGACTCATTGCAGATCATGGGTCAAATGAAGAACATATAAGGCAGCCATGAATATAAAATGCTACAAAATAAAAATTGGAATGGTGGATATGTATATATGATCATTCAAATCCTAAAACAGGCTTTTAGGTGTACAACCCAGCTGATATAAATGTCCCATTATATTGTTCTTTCTCTCAGTCAAATTATCCCTTTGATATTATATTCCAAAACCACGTCACTCACTTTTCTCATGATATTATATGACGAGATGTTTGTCATTAGATTCTGCAATAAGTTATAAAATATTGTGTGTCATATTTTTTTAATTGATTTTTGTTTCTTCAGAAGGAAATGGATCCAGCAAAATGCCTAAGTTACGAGAGAGTATCAGATGGAAGTGCATCGTCAGATCTTTCAGGAACAAGCCCCAAGAAACCAAATTTGGATCTGGAGTTTAGCTTAGGGCAGCCACTTTGAGATCATATCTCTCTTTTTGTTGAGTAATATAATAATGTGCATGGAAGAGTTAATCAATTAGGGCTCTGGAATGAGAGAATCGGTACTTGCTGAGAGAAAACGAGAGAGAAAAAGAAAACAAAAAGAATACACACAGAGAGAGAGAGAGAGAGAGAGAGAGAGGAAAAAAGAAAAGTAAAAGGGGCTAGGGAAAGACAAGGAGACAAGAAAGACAGAAAGCAGCAAAAGGAGAAGGAGGTGGGGGAAAAAAGCTTGTCCTTCCTATCAAGTTCTTGTGATGAGATCCGTCCAAATCAATATCACAATCTTATATATTTCATGGTAAATATATCGTTAAAATTATATCTAATTGATTTGTATGTTTTTGCAATCTTTTAGAGAGGGAGAAGGAAAGAAAGAGACAAAAGAGAGAGAAAAGAGAGCAAGTGCTTTGGCTACCTTAAAGTATGAAGTGATCCTTGGCAATATTGTAATGGACCACTTTTACATTTTATCAATATATTTTCCATCTTGTTTCTCTACCAGTGGATATATAAATATATATATTTATATATAGCTTGGTTCCAATATTCAATCCTAGGCATACTCTCATGCTTTTACACTTTGAGAAAAAGAAAGGATTGGGAATATATATAATATATTTATATATATGGACTAAAGGAAAAGACTGAAGACTTAGAATAAAGTGACAAAAAGAACAGGGACCCTAGTCCAGTTACAAAAGAAAGGGACGATATGATAAAGTAGCTAGGTTGTGAGCTAAGGAAAAAGTGGAAGAAGGAAAAGTATACAATTATGTATTCTTCTCATGTAATTTCTTTTTGGAGGAAAATTACAAAAACATTTAAGAAAATCATGTTGAATTTCTCCTTTATTGACATATGCAAGTGCCTAAAGTTAAAGTCCTCCCAGGTTATCGTTTTCTCTTCTCATTGTCCTAATTAATATTCTCATTAATCAGACTACTGAGTTATTAATTAATAAAGTACTATTATATTCGAGTGTATATATATGTTATAACTCATCAGTTGTTATAAATAGGCAGTAGATTACCTTTATCATTGAAATTTTCACTTTTTACTGATCTGATAAAGCTTTCAAGTATCATAAGCTTTTGAAAAAGATGGTTAAAATGCTTTACTCAGATGACATTTTTATTTACCAAAAGAAAAGTTCTCTGAGGCAGCGGAGCTTTTGTTGTATTTCATAGTTGTAGCAAGAATATAAATAATGGCACATATAAACAGACATGTACCAAAAGCAAGAAAGATAAACAACTTACGGAAGCGAAATTTTATACAAATGTTTTTGCGTCATTCTCTCTAGAGGAGAAGTAGAATGAATATGGAACTTAGATATATATGATGATCATGCCATGTGCAAATGCAATATATTATAGGTCTCAATCCTAAAATTATAATCTAAATTACAGTCAAAACGAGAAGATGCAATGTGAGAATGGAAGGAAGTTTTGAATCAACGGGCATTGATGAAATATTCCCTCTGATACATAATATAAGACGTTAGTTAAAAGAAAATTGTAGTCTAAAATATAAGACATTGTCATGATAATTTAAGACTTTAATGAAATATTCCCTCTTATCTATAATATAAAACATTAGTTAGAAGAAAATTGTGGTCTAAAATATAAGACATTGTCAGGATAATTAATATAACTTTTTCACTTTTGCCCCTATTAAATATAGGAAGATAGGAAAAAGATGAGATGTAAAAGTATAATATTAAAGATAACTTTATTTTTTTTAGGATAAAATAGGAAAACTCTATCATTTTAGGATAAATTTAACGACTAAATTTTTATTTTTTGATTTGTGAAAAAAAAATTAGCTACCTTCTTATATTGTGAACAAGAGGGAGTACTGATTATACGGCAGACAAATTAAATAAGACATAATTAAAGAGCCTCGTTTGGATACAAGTATTATGGTACAAAAAACTAATATAATAACCTCGCTCTAAGTTAGAGCATTATAATTGCCATGAAATATAATAAACTGCTAAACATAATGAAGGAAGTTAGATTAGTCAGCAGGTTATGCTTCAACTTATATATCAGAGAAAACATATCAAGACTAGAGGATGAGACTCAGTGTAATAAGAAAGTAAACAAGATTTTAGTTGTTTTTTCCAATGCCCTTTCAAATTTTATGTTTGACTTTTTGTGTTGTTTTGTTGTTATTTCTTTGTCGACATTTTTTCATGATGATTTGCCTAAGTCCTACGTCGCAGGATTTCGAGTCTGGGTTAATTATGTCGGTTATTTACGCGTTAGTTTCGTGTTTTTAAGGTTTTTCTCATTTGTTTCATACTCCGACATGAAACTAGACCATTCCTTTCCCTCAATATTTTTTTTAAATAAATTAAATGCACTGAATATTTCTGTTTTTGGCATCTGTTCTTGGATGGAGGAAGAAGGCAAAGTAAAGCCGCTATTTTTGGCACCTTCTGGCATTTGATGCAAATAAGGATGATCAAAAACTAAAATTGAAAAAACAACAGCACAAATTATTTCATTTTCGTAAAAATCTTTTCTGCATATACATCACTCTCTTTCTGGAAACACCTCATTGTCTTTTACACAATTGTAAACACTTGTTTATTTCTTTAATATGAATAATTTTATTTAATTTATAGCAGAATACCATATTTTGATAAAAAAAGAGAAGATAAAACTTAGCATTTGTGTCGCAGCAAACTGAAAAACGAATCTGAGCTGCTTCTATATATTGCTGTGTTATTGGTTTCAATCACTATCCAGTTTTGTACCATGTTTTACCATTTTACAACTAACTTCATTAAAACCTGCAAGCATCACAGTTATTAAGGCCTTCCCGAGCCAACCAAACTGTTCCGGTAAATACAAAGAAAACAACAAAAATGAATGCTCAAACGTAAGTAGGTACAAATTATTAACATTAAATGAGATTTTATATGTTGTGAAGATGCTGGTTAATTAACACTTATAGCCTTTATGTATTGTTTTTTAATCTAAAGTCGGAAACTACCAGCCTAGCTGTGAGTGTGAAATAATAACTCTGAAAATAGAAAATGATACATATAAAAAGAAGACTACTGCATGCAGCAGGTTGAGTAAAGATTAATTTGTACGGTTTTGTATGCTCCCTACCGTACCTAGCTATCTAGATTATTGACTTTTACGGATTTAAGAAATTTCTTAAGATAAAGAAATAATGTGAAGAATATTCGAGAGGGAAGCTTATAGGTTAGAATATGGAACAATTTTCCCCCTTCTTTTGCCCTCAAAAAATATCGTCTTGTGGCTTATGAGAAGAAATGATTAGACACTTGTTTTGATATGCAAACTTCTTTTTGGTAATTATACAATCAAGGCAGAGTCTAATAATAACAACAACGTAGGGGTACTAAGAAGTGTTGGATCTATTGGCTGTTTAAGGATAAGATTTCAAATCCATGTAAATGCAAAAAAAAAAAAATATTTGTTAAAAGAACTACCTTCAATTAGATCTGATAATGCTCAAATCTGAATGAGTCAGATAATTATATTAAAAAATGGTAACACAAGGATTGAGTTAAAGTGAAAGAGCATTAATTATTTATACAGTGAATACATGGCCCTGCGTGTGTACGATATGATAGTGAAATTTCTCAATCTATTGACTGCTACTTCTACATATTTTAACAGTTAAGTGATTAATCAGCTTGGCCACCCATCAATTACTTTGTCGATTTTTTTCCCCAAGAGGGAGAGGCTTCTCAAAAGGAAATTACGAACAATAAATTTATGGCCTTAAAAGGTTAAAAAAATAAAAGCAAAATTATAAAGAAGAGAAAAAGTGTTAGGGTTTTAATTAAAGTATGGGGATATTGAGAAGGCTTTAGAGGATGCATCATGTGGGTATAAAAAGGAGGAATTTGATCAAAAAGAAAGAAAAAGGGAAATGGTTGGTGATGAAATTGAGGAAGACGAAAAGGAAAATAAATTAATTTAAAAAAAAAAAAGAAAAGGAAAAGAAACGAAAGCGAATGAAGTGCTTTAGCTTTTGGTTTTTTTTCTTTTTCAACTTTATTTGCTTTGCTTTTTTGTTTTGCACGAATGCATGGAATCGTCTCAGTGTTCAGATAACTCAGTGGGACACTAAATATTTTTCTTTTCTTTTGTTTTCTTTTTCAGTATTACAGAACAAAAAGAGATCTCATCCAGCATCACTCGTGCTGATTACTCAACTCAATCCCATCAATTAATCATATTGATTGCCCAAAACTAACTCTTTTGGTTCACATTGTGATTGTCAATATAATTTAATTAGGACAAGATTAATTATTATTTTCATGTAAATTTTTGTTGATGATATTGCTGCAATTCAAAATTAACATTATTTTAGCCTTTGTTATGATGCTATTTGGTTTCTGATTTGATATCTACATATTCATCAAAATTTGGCCCATGTTTACTGATGTGGTCGTTTTTATCTTGTCTTAACACTTTAAATATATGTTTGGTTGATGTGAGCAAATAAAATAGAAATTAACTCCGCTGGCCAAAAGAAAAAAAAAAAGAAAGAAATTAAGTCTTCATTTGTTGAAAAGAAAATTGAATAAAGAGTGATGACATTACCAATAAACTATTGACTAAGATAGTAAACTTCCTCATTCTCGTAAAGAGGAGAACACAAGTTCAAATCTCAAAATCTCAATTGTTGGAAGGGTTTTGACCTTAACACTCTTAGCTTGATAGAGATTAGTATTAAGTCCAAAGTGATTTATACTTGCTCACGAGAAAAAAAAATCATGAGTCTATCATTAGAAGAAAACTCTAATTTTAGATATTGAATGTTAAACTCCCTTTTTCGAGAAAAATTCTTTTATTTTTTAAAAAAATCTCGAAAAAATGACTGTTAAATTTTAGAATTTCAAATCAGTATTGGTTACTATACTCATAAAGAAAATGATTATACTTGAAAAGTAAATGACAATATATTTTTGTAGTAATTCCTAATTTGGAATTTTGAAATTCAACAGTTATTTTTTGAGTTTTTTTTTTAACCTTTGGGAGCACGGTTTAATTCCTTTTAGCCTTATTGCGTTCTCACAATTATTTGTATTCCAATTTGATATTTACATCTACTTGGAAATTTTGAAATTAACTAAGATCTAATTTTGAATTTTATTGAGTAATGTCATTAAACTTTGGTCCTTGTTCAATTCCTTTCCATTTTGTTGATGTAGCTGTCTTATCTCATCTTAATATTTCAAATTAAATAGCAGAAATTATATCATGCAGTAAAATGTGACATTTGATGCAACACATGACCACAATGAATTTGGTTCAATCGTACTTATTTAAAGTGGAAGGATAATATGGGATTTCTTTTTTGTGGTTAGATAATGGATATGATAAGTCATCTTAACAAAATTTAATAGCATGTTGACAAAATTTTAAAAATAAAAGTTAAATATATTTTTATAAATTACAAAATCTTATTATTTAGATTCTTTTTAAGTATAAAGATGAACCAACAAA